AAGCATACCTCTACTAATCACATTCTAGAATTGTTACCTAAGATCTAGTGTAAACATCAACACAAAACTTGCATTCAGCTCTTGCATTGCCTGAGCAATGAAGTAGTTCTTTAATATATATATATAAATGAACTTGATAGACTTCTGAAAAGGTAGAAAATAACCAAGTTTCCCTATCTTTGTGTTATGAGAATGATTATTTGGATGATGAGTACAAACAAGTTCAAGGTTTTGTATTGTACATGTGATTTTCTGTTTGTTTGTTTGTTTGTTTTTAAATATATGCAGCTGACAACTCAAAAAACCCAGAGGTTATGGTTGGCTTGCTTCGTGTAACAAACTGATGTGAAGACTTACAATTTTTGGTTTGAATATTAGAACATTAAACCACATTGAGGAGGGGGAGCTCTCCAGGAATTTGTATTGGCTGGGTTGAGGAGCTGGAATGAGGAAAGTTAGTGCAGTGTCTCCTCGTTGCAGAAACCAGATCAGTGGCTTGTCTATGGGAGTCTAAATTGCCTTGATTTGGTCAAGGTCAAAGTTACTTTTTTTTTCTAAGAGTTGAGCAATGTTATCTAACATAAATATAATAATTTTTTTCCTAAGTTTTGTAGTTTCAGGTGCTATTAATTAGAATGCCAGCCTTTCGGTTTGCTTTATTTTTTACTTAGCAGTGAGCAAGCACCCTTAAAATGGTAAAAAATCAGTTATGTGTTAGACTTATAAATATGAATAAGTAAATATTTAAAAAAAGAAATTGTCAAAGGTATTTTTAAACTCTTATGTGAGGTACACTGTCATATCTACAAACCCAAATGGCTTTTTATCCATCAGCTTTCACCTGTCAGTCGCTTGCCTCTTTTGAATTGTGAACCATTTTTTAAGTGTTTGGAGCCCTTAATGGAAATTGTGAGCTGTCTAAGAAGGAATCTTCAATAAGGGATGTTTCTTGAACAAGTGGTAATGTGATGCAGTGTTACTGAAGATTGATGCTGCTTTTAGTGACAGCAGCAAGATGTATAAACCAAACAAGCAAAAAAAGAAAAAAAAACACCAAAAAAACCAAACCCCAGCCTAATATCAATGTGATACTAGAAGAAAGAAGCTTCTCTGTTAAAACTTAATGAGTTTTTTTTTAGTTGTCAGATTTGCTTTTTTTAATGTTGTAGTGTACCTAATAGCAATTTCAAATCTTTTTAGTAATGAATGTTAATCTTGAACTTTGACATTTCTGTGGTTATTCTGTGTTAATATTCCCATTTAATATCCCCATTTAAAATGGGTGCATTTATTTTGGTTTGTGAATTCTGGTGTGAAGGTGTAATAACAATCTTTGTTTCATAAATATTGGGTATTGATCCTGTCTTAAAGTAATTTGTTTAGGAGTCACTACTGAAGCAGGCAATAGTCTAATTTAGCTAAGGCAGTTTGGGTTGATGAAGATGACACGTTCTGGAGTGCTGGGAAGGAAGACAACATTTGTTTTTAAGCATTCTGAATCTCTGTGTGAATGATGAATCAGTTTCCTGGCTCATTTTTGTTGTACTGTTGTTGTAATCTTGTTTTAGTGAGGAGGATTTGCAGTGAAATGTTAATAACTATTGAAATGCCTGGGTCTTTCGGTCTGTTTTAATAGACCCTATATTCAAATTTCATTGAAGTGCCCATTCTTTTGGTTCCACCTTCCCCACCCCACCCAATTTTCTAATTAATTTCCTTTATTGAGAAGCACAGTGATACATTCAATCAGCCACATGTTTACCTAAAACAATAAATTTCTGAGAAAGCCTGGTGTACTGTAGCAGACAGATAGGAGACTAGAGATGGAGTTCCATGGCTGGTGCTTCAGAACTGGGCTCTTCACCTTGGAAATCAAAAGGAAGAGTTAACTCTGTAATGTGTGGCTGTTCTATGGTGAGGATTGGATCAGGTGAGAGAAATGAATCCACACTTCCCTTCCTTCTGTCCCTGTGTCCCTTGAGTGTTATCTGCAGGTAAGAAAGTGTAATTCCTTGGTACTTGTGCCTGCACAGCCATGGATACATGGTTAGATGGTTTACGGAACTGGGGTAGATTGAGTGGGAAGTTAAAAATAACACACATCCCCAAATATCAGGCAAGTTTGTCCTACACAGTGACACAGACTTCCTATATTTAGATAAGGGCTGCCCTCATAGAGAAACCTTTGTCTTAGGCATTCTCTATTTATCATCTTAAACTTTTAAGTAAGATTTAGAAATAAAAATATAAACTTGTGTTTCAATTCTTTTTAGGATAGGTGTTCTCTGAATGGACCTTGATTATTAGCTTCAAGTCCATTTTAACTGTAGAAATTAGCCAGATTTTCCCTGTCCCCTTCTTAACTATCATGCTTTTGGAGAAAAATCTGTTTCCTCCTACTTGTCAGATGTCTTCCCCTGCCCCACGCTTTGCCTATTTGTTTCCTCAAAAGAGCCTTATACGTAGATATTTCAAATAAGAGGGCGTACTATTAAATTGTCAAGATGAAGCTGTATTTGCTTACTCAGGTACAGTGTAACATAACCCAGGATGACATTTATGACACGTTTAGAAATGTCTAATGCTCTTCCACGTGTGATGTAAAGCTCCAGCTGTACCTTTCACCTCTAGCAGAGTATTATCAGGCATGCTGTAGCTTCTGGCAGGGTAGTACTGCTGTCACTGTCCAAGGGCCCTTGTCCTTTCCCAGATAACCCGCCCGTGTTAGCAAAAGGTGGGAAATAGCACAAAAAATTGCTAGCATTGTCTGTGCATACGTTCAAAATCCTTCAAAAGCAGAGTTTTATTAACCACTGTTGGAATAGTTTTTGTTGTCTAGGTGCACTTTCACAAATTCATCTGCTTCCCCTGCCAGGAATGACTTGCTGCTGTCTGTACTTTTTGTGGCAAGATAAAACTACCCCTCTTAAAAAAAGGCTTAGTGTGAGGATTTCTGCATTTCTAACCTTGATGATGTAAAAAAAAGAAAATAATGCTGAGGAGACTTTAATTTTAGGAAAATAAACTATTTCTATTTCTTCAAGAATAAGTCCTTTTTTCATAGGCCTCATAATAAAATAATAGAATGGTTTTAGTTAGCAAGGTTGCTTTCAGTTTGAAAGGCATCTTTTGTTTTTGGCAAAAGTTTATTGTATATATTTTACTGTAGTTGCTATGGGTGAAAGGGAATAGAGAAGTTATGTTGAAGACAAAGAGTATTTTGGACAACTATGTTCCTGATTTTCTGTTCTTACTAATCACTGCTGCTTAAAACAAATTTGGAGGGTATGTCTGTCTGATATTCTTGACTTCATTTCAACTTTTAAGGTACAGTATAATTTGTACTGTTGAGACAGATGCTGCAACTGATCAGTTGATTGTTAAACCACATTTAAAAATTATAGTTTGGAAATTGATTTTTAAGTTGGCATTTAAATAGCTTATGGGTATTAATGAATGGCAGGTACAAATCATATACCTTATACCACATGTGATTATATTTATGTTACAGAACCAAGAATGTCTTGTTTATGTAAAAATTTGTACAGGATTTACTGTTACAAAGGTATTCAGATATGCACATTTCTAAATGTATGTTGTCTTTATTTTTAGTTGAGTATGTGGATTCATTAAATTGGTCTGATTAAATCTCACTTTAGCCCAAGACTAGAAAAATTAATATAAAACATTATTGTTTGGAAGAAGGAGCAGCCAACTAAAGCAGAGCTCAGACAAGAAATTTTGTAATGGAAACTCATAAAGAGCTTGTTACTTCAGTGATTTGTACTGCAAAATACCAGATGATTGTGTCCACTGTGGCAGTTAGAGAAGCTGGGATTGATTTATATATATATATTTTTAATGGTCATGTTTGATGGCTAGAATTCATACCTAAAAATAGATTTAGAAGACAAGGAGGTCTGCTACAAAATGTAGATTTGGTCATCTTTGGGAAAACACATCACTTCTGGCCTCATTAGAGCAGATACTCTCATTAGAGCAGGTACATCTCTCTGCTTCTGCTTTCTTTCAACTAGAGCATCCTAGTTAAAATTTTTCTGCAAGGTTAACTTATCTGGGAAGCCATTTTGCTCTCCAACAATGGCATTCAGTGGCAATTGCAATTCGTGAGAATCACAAAGCTGTCAGTGTGTACCACAGAGTGTGGAAATGGAGGAACCACCGTTTTCAAGGAAATGGAAATAAAGCTGCTCAGCTCGCATCTGAGGAGATAGAACAAGGTCCCTGGATTCATTGTTTAAAGGGTGTCTGCGATATCTAACTCGGATGGCACTGATATTTCTGGGCTACCTATGTACTCTTTGAAAGAGCTAGTCTCATTCTTTTGGACACACAGACATAGAGCAATGTGAAATTGTTCGCTTGAAAGAAGGCTCTGAATGTTTCAAAATGCAAAACCTGGTCTTTGACTGTGAGTTCCTCTTTACCCTTTTTGAAGCTGAACAGACATGCCAGAGTGAAAATGTACTTACTGGTTCTGACTTGCTGAAAGTGAGATGGCTGTATTTAATTTTAGCTGTCACTGTGCAGCTGAACAATTACTGAACTTAGTTATTCAAATATGGTTCAAGTATTGACTGAAAAATTTTAGGGACATTTCAATAGAATTGTGTTCGGGGTTTGAAGAAAAACTGTCCTTGAACAACTAAAGTTAGTTCTTCGTATCCTTGGATAATTTCTTCTATAGTATTTCTAAGTTCAAGCTCTGACTTATGTACGTAAGTGCAGGATTATGCTCCTGAGAATAACTTCCCATAATTTGTTTATTTTATTATATGTGAAATTTGGAACCCTTTATTCTCTATTTTTTCAGGACAGCTCTGTGGTAGGAGCTGAAACCTCAGAAATTAGCTACAAAATGGAAGTCAAATAATAAAAGGAAACAGCATAAGTACAGTTCTCATGCAGCACAGCAACTTGATGGAATGCAAGGTTATTTTGAGCTTAATTTTTTTATTATTATTTTATTTTTATTTTAGGGTCAGATAACACTAATGGATGTCCCTGTATTTAAAGCAATTCAGCCAGAGGTAAGTCATTCATTGGTTTTGTTTTCAAGTTGAAATGAAAAGCAGTTATGCCAGTGTATAAATCCTGGAACTGAAAAGTGTAAATATGCCAATAAATCTTACTTTTTGTCCCAGTTCATATAGCTCTGAAGCAGATGGTTTTATAACACAAAAATATCTGGAGCTAATAGTTTTTGAGGCATGAAGTATTGGTATTTAAATATGTTGAGCTAGTGCTAGAGATGAAGTATCTGGGTTTTAATGTTTCTGAATGATAAACAGCTTGATTTGACTATTCTGGTGATGATATTTTAGGTTTCAGCTCCTGATACCTCATGCCATACCTCATCCTGTCCTGTGCTTCCCTAACTAACTGATTTATATCTTTTTTGGAAAATGAAAATGGCTGTAATGGCATCTTGTATTCAAGATGGGTGTGATCTGTGGATATACTGGGATAATATATTGATGATGTGTGTTCTCTGTTTTGTTTTTGTGTAATGCTCTATTCCTTTCTGATTGCAGCCTGACTTCAACTGATGTTTTCAGAATCTTCACAGTGACTATAATAAAGGATGAATTTGTTTATCTTTATTTCTCTGATTAGCATTTTCCCGTGGGCGTTGTTTTCCACTTTTGAAGGTTTATTTTTCAGTTTATTGACCACTTTATCAGTAATGTAGGAGTCTTTTTCAGCCCATCAGTCACCTTTAGACTATCATAAGCTATTTTATTGGTAGCAGGTTTTTGTCATGTCACTCTTGTACCGCCCTGAGAATATTTTGCTTTAGTTGGAGAAACCTGCTGAATCTCTTGGTTGTCATTATTGATTATCATCATTTGTTTACCCACAGATTTTTTTTTGAAGATTTCCTTTTGGTCTGCACTTGAAAACATTGTCATGGTTTAGCTTTCATGATTTCAGCAAGCTATTTCCCAACCTATGTGGGTTTTTTGCTTGAGGTTTTATGGTGTTGGGTTTTCGTAATTTTTTTAATTGGTTGGGTTTTTTAGTCCTTTAAAAAGCCTCCCATTTGATCTCTCTGGCTTTTTTTTCTGGGCTTCCTTTGAGTTTTTTTTGATTGGCAGAATATATTTATCCTTATCTTCTAATAGAATATATCTTTTTTTTTTTTTTTTTAAAGCTATTTTCCAAAACTTTAAAGTATTTTCCCCTTTTATCTTACTCTTTAAAATATTTTCCTCGTCTATGTGTTTGTGTACTTCTTTTTCTTATGTTAGGCATTACTGCTATGCAGGATTCCCCTTGCCCTTGAGTGCTGGAGCTGAATAAGCTGTGGGTGTTGTCACACAGTGCTTCATCTCTGGTTACACTGAGCTTCAAAGGACTGGATATCGAAAAATCAAAGCACCAATTTAACTAGTTAGGACTTTTCCTAATGATCTGCTGATAAAGAAATTCTACTACTTAAGCTTGATGGTAGTTTATTCTTTGCAGTCTGCTTCCAGCACCAAACAGGAGCGGTCAGCTGTGTAACAACCACAAGGAAGCAAGTTAGATATAGCGACACTGATCCAATACTCCCTACCTCATAATTTGATGCTCTTTTAATGCTGCCTCCTTTATCTCAGATGATGTTGTGTGAGCAGACTGACAGAATTGTCCGGGTAGTGAGAAGAAATGCCAAGAAAGTACAGTTAATTTTGGTGGCAGTTCTAACTCATTATTGTAAACCACAAAAGGGGAAAGCAGAGTAATAAAATGAACCTTATCTTAAAGACAAACTATAGGAGAGTAGGTGAATAGATCTAGAAAGTAATTCCTTTTAAGAAATCTGTATGTACTGCATAAGAAAAATGCATGTGATGCCTTCTCTGAAAATATCCATCTGAGGAAGGGTGGCTGTTTTGACACTTGTCAAGTGCTTGTGCAAAAGCAGTTAAAGGTGCTGACAGCGTGCAAGTACTATCTGTCCATCAGTGCTGCTTCACAGGTAGGCAGAGATCTGTCCTCTTGTATCTGATTTGCCTCTAAATGGTGTTAATCCCCTATGGAAAAGGGGCATACAGGTTAACTCTCAGGTCAGAAGAAGGTAGACACAATTAAAATGCTTACCCCCTGTTTTGCAGAAGGATGAAACAAACATGGAATGCTTCGTTTGCCTATGGGTGTCTCGGCAGCAGATTAATGAGTGTTGTAGGTCTCTGAGTTTCTCTGAAGTATCTGCCAGAGTGTGTGCCATATCGGTATCTTGATTCACGTTATGAATCTTTACATATACCTTGATGTGTGCACTCAAACATTTTTGAATTTGTAATTAGAAAACAAAACAATAATGACCTGATTTCACCTGTATAAAGGGCTTCTGAACTCAGGCTTTAATGAGTGACTAAAAGGCGCTGATGGATTTTTTTTTTTTATATCAGTACAAGTAGATATTCTATTTAGAATCAAATTTCCCAGCTCTCATCCGCATGCATGATGGGAGATGATGAACAACATCTTTCCCAATGTGCCAAGATTAAAAACTGGGTGTTTATTATAGATTGTTGTAATTCACCAACAAATTTTTGTTATACAGGCTGTGAATCTGTCTGCTTTCCAAACTCTGTAGAATGAAATATGAATGTATATTTTTAGCATTTAATGTCTTTTAATTTGTTTTTGCAAATAGAAGTTTTGAAAGATTTATTCCTAGATGCTTAATCTTTAAAAGAACTGAAGATGAATTTTTGCTATCTTCATGAAGTGTGTGAGCAATATTCTTTAAATATCTTTTTTTTTTTCCTTGACTATCTAAATTATTGTGTTGCATCTTCTTCATTGTGTTAAAATACACATCAGTGCCACAAACCTCAGTGCCATGTCTGCTTCTGATATCTGTGCCATGTAAGCCCTGAGATGTACAGTGCCAGGGCAATGGGTAACTTCTGCCCAGAATCAGAATTGGTTTTTGACTTGGTGATGAGAATTGAAATAGTAAAAGCACATGCCTTGAATTATTAGGAAATTACCATGCCTCCTCTAAACCCGAGACAGTAACTAATTTTTTTCTGCTGTTAAAGTGTAATTGTCAGATACCAATAAGGATGAATCACCTTGTATTCTCCCAAGCGCAGAGCTGTGACTGTTATTGCAATGGAAACTGTTTTACTGGGAGATGCTGAGGGACAGAGAATGTAAACGAGTCTCTTGCATGGCTTCCTTCTCCAATAGCCTGCTCTGCTTTGCACTAGGAGCAGCTCGGGGCTTCATGGTTGCTTTCTGCATAGTCATTGAAGTGCAGATATGAGGAGATGGGCTTGTGCATTCCTATGCTGAACATGCCAGCGTTTTGCAGGATGGATTTTGGTGGCAGAACTTCCTGGTGAAATTTGAAGGAGTGGCTCTCAGTACAAAGCTGGAGACTCTGCATTCTTCCCAGTGCCTGTGGACAGGAGCATCTGAGTCTGCTCTAACAAATACCAGCACACCACAAACTTCAACATGTGGAAGAATTCAAGGTCTCTCTTAACTGGCATGAGACTCTTCAGTAGTCTTGGGACCATGGTTGAAAAGATGTTAAGAAGTTCCTGATTTAAAACCAGCAACAACAAAAAAACTTTAGAGCTTAGAATATCCGGATACCAAATTCTTTTAGACTATGTCTGTCTTAAATGGCACAATTATTGGTTATGCATTGAGTCATCTTAACTACATTATATTGTAGCTGGATGTATAGAGTCATACTGGTTTCAGTAAGAAGTTTTCAATGTGGTGATAGAACTGAGAGCGCTTCAGAGTGGAAGATGTGGAAAGAAAGCATGAATAAATAAAAATGAAAGGCTGTACTTTGCTATTATGCCACTTCAATAATTAAACTGTCTCTGTATTGATTATTTTTCTGGGTAGCACTGTGGAATAGGTTGTGTGCTGTAGGCTGTATATATTTGCATCTATTCTGTATGCTACTGTATACAAATAGAAGAGCTCATTTTGGTACATTTAGGTTTTTATGATTTCAATTAAAACTGCTTTATTGAAATTAAGTGGTAGTAAATAACAAGGAAGATGATTTAATTGCCCAACTGCTGACTTAAATTTTACAGACCAGTAAGGGGCACTGTAACTTTGTAGTTACAAAGTCATGCTTTCCCAGGCTTTACAGGTAATTTGTTAGATTGTTGAGGCCTACAGTTTTTAGGGTGACTCAAATATAGGAGCTAAATGATTTTTTTTTTTTTTTTAATCTTTTAAGCAGATCCCCTTGCTCCCTTTTACTCAACAGAATTATTTAAATGTTGAGTGTTGTTCAACTTAAAATAAACTTGGCTTCTTCAGAAGGGAAAACTGGAAATAGTGTTTCTTTTAATGTTGCTGCAAAAGATGACAGTTTTGGTATTTCTTTAATGCAACTTGCAAAGTTAAAATAATGGGACACGTCTACATTGAGTTAACAAGGTATATCTTCTCAGTAAACTTTAAGTGTCTTCGTAAAGCAATTAAAAACAAGATAATGTGCTGCTCTCCCAGCTCAGATTCACATTTAAAGCAGGATTTTCTTTGGTAATAAAATGGATCTTGAATTATTTCACTGTTTCTAATAAGAAAATCATTCAAAAGATGAAGTGTAAAAAAATCTAATTCAGAACAATTCAGAAATAACACGTGGAATATCAATTTACAAAAGAAATCAGAAAAAGTGTAACTATATTTATTACTTCAATGTATTATTGCTCTGTTATTTTGAAACTTTTCAGATTTGTGTCTCTATATGCTCTTGGCTCTGAATATGTATTATGCACTAATTTAAAAGAATGAATGTACACCTTTGTTCTCCCAGGAGCTGGCAAGCTGTGGCTGGAATAAAAAAGAGAAATACAGTTCTGCACCAAATGCTGTTGCTTTCACCAGAAGATTCAATCATGTGAGTTGGTTTTGGGTTTTTTTCCAGTGTTATTACATGTATGTGTTTAAAAAGTCTGAGGAATTAAGTATTCTGGCACATTGTATCTATTACTGGTCACAACTAATTACTTGAAAACTTAAAGTGTATGAAGGAATGCCTTATCTTCAGGATATACAGGAAGACCAAAACAGTTCTGAAGACTTAGCTGTGTTTTTGTTCTAATTATCAGTTATTGATGAAACAGGAAAATATCGAGTGTTTCTTTCCCCATAAATGCTGTCTGTCCTTTACATAAAGACAGAGTCAGAATTACAGGTTAAAGGCTTACCAGGCAGGATTTCTGGAGTAGTAATTAAATGTCACTTTTTTTTCTGTTAGTTGGGTGTCTTTTGCTGCACGTCAGTGTTGTGTTGTTTTGTGGGCTTTTTGTTTGTTTGTTTTCCCTGGCAAGATAAGCCTTTTGTCAGTGTGGGTGCCTTTTGTCAGTGTGGGTGCCTTTTGTCAGTGTGGGTGCCTTTTGTCAGTGTGGGTGCCTTTTTAAGGTGATTCTGGGCAAACTTTAAACATTCCAAACAATTTCACTGTATAAAACTTGTTCTTTAACTCTCTATTTGGCATAATTTTTCAGGTAGTGTATTCGAGATTTATGGCTTTCTTATTTAAAAATTTCTCTGTGTAAAGTCAACTTTTAAACTAAAATAGACTTTTAGCTTTCTCCACAGTTAAAACTGTAGGACTCCAGCTATGTCATTAGCCAACCAAGTCTCAAAACTGTATTTTTTTAATGTAATGCCATATTTTGTATTTCAGCTGAATTAATTCTATTACCCTCATCTCTCCACTTGTAAATGTTTAGTAATGTCTCAAACTTACAAGCTCTTTTCCAGACCTATCTTCTGTGCCCAGTTTCAGATCTACAGACATATTTGTTAATCATCTAAAACTCAGACTAAAACTCTAACCTTTTCAATTTTTTTTCCTATCAGTTGTGTACTTTCTCACCATCCATTATTGCTCACGTTCAGGATATGACCAAATCCTTTTACTTATCAACAACACTTAGAGTATTTCTTAACCTTCTAATGACTGAAATGCTTGTCTGGGCATGGGTTTTGGACACTTGGCTGATTCCCCTCTTGGCTGTTTTCCACATTGTCAGCACCATTCAGATGTTGCAGTGCTTAGGCTGTCTCTTGGACTGTATTTAAAACCCAAAGATTTGAAGGCAGTTCTGGATCTTTTCCTATTTCTTTTTTCTTGTTTGTTTCAGCTCTCTTTAAGGTGTCATTTGAAAAACATTGATACAGGAATTATAATAGCCTCTAGGAGAAGTTCTGCCTTGAAGAGTCAAAGAATAGGTAATAAAGAGGAAACAAGTGCAGCTATTTAATGTCTGCTCAGATGCTGGGCTAGTTTGCCTCTAACCAATTTTTTGGGAGACTGTTGCATGCAGCTTTGGTGGCTCAGGGACATAACATTTGCAAGAAGCTCTTCCAAGAAGTTTGCATCAGCCTTTCTTCTGGCACCAAGGAGATTGAGCACTCTTACCTTTGAAGTGTGGTGGGACTGGAGAGGGGAGGGAAAAGGGGCAAGTATTGTTTCAGTCACAGGTTCCTGTTATTCATGTTCCTACCTCAACTACTGTTCCAAATGCATCATTGCAGAGGACTCATTCCTTCCAATAGCAATATCCTATTTAGATTCACCATCCTTTTGGGAGCAGTGAAACCCAAGAACTCCTGTGGGATAGGCAGATGGCTGGGAATAAGAAGGTACGATGGAGTAAGCAATTTTTGTTTTCCTTCCTTGCCTGGTTTGCCTTCTTGGTGTTCAGTTCTTACCCCAGGTGCTTGCTCAGCAGAGTGAGTTCCTTTTGGGCACCTGCCCCACTCACCTGGGGGTTTCTAATGCTTAGAGCTAAAATAAGTAATCAGGAAAATCATTGCAACTTTTGGCTTTATCAGGCATGAATACATTTCATCAAACTTCCGTTAACCTTTGAAATTTCCCTGGGTTTAAATTATGCATTATGCATCTGTCTCTTTCCTTTTTCCCCCAACTTGCCAAAAGAAAACCATGAACAGCTCTCACTTTGTAAGTAAAGAGAATATTAAATCACTAACAGCTGCTTCACAGCAAATTGATCTGCTGATAGCGTTTTGGAAACAGTAATGATTATATGCAGTTGATTGCAGTCCACTGAGAATGAAGTAGTGTATTTCCAGCATTAGTTATGTGATAATTATACGTGGTGCCTGTAAAAACAGATTGAGTTCAGGGAAGAGAAATCAATTAAATCATTCCGTGCCAGGACTCTTTTATTCTTGAAGAATACATTGCTCCATGATACTACGTAGATCTGCACATCTACTATTAATTATTTGGTTTAAATAGGTAATTTCTTTACATAGTTTTTAAAAAAACTCTATAATCTCTGCCTTTTTCAGCTTTCTTCTGGGAGTTAGTTGTATACTCACATACTACTGTTCTAACTGGTAAATCCATCAGAGGGCAAAATTGTCAAGTTTATCTACTTGCTAAACTGTTGTTCTCTACCTCTTGAAAAATAACTGTTTATCATCAATTTCAAACAAACGAGGTGTGTATTTTTTGAAGATTACTGTTAGGCATTGATACAAAAACATTTTATAGCTCATGTGAAGGTAACAGTTGCTGTCCTGTTTATAAGAGTATCTGTATTAAAAACCTCTTTCTTGAGATTTTTATTTAAATAGGAGTGGAACTGTGCTGCCACGGAGCTTAAAATATTAGAGAAACTTGTCAACTAGATTCAATACATTGGAAGAATTTTAAAGCAAAAGATAAAGATCCCACTTGAAAGGCAATTTTTATGTTATACTAACTCTGAAGCTGTTTAGTGGAGGTTTTTTTTAAAACCAAATGGAAACATTATATAGAAGACGAAATTTGTCTTGAAGATTGTAGTGTTGCTGAGTTGCAGTGAAGTGTCATAGTGAAATTTCACTAGGGTTATCAGAAATTAAAAATGAGGCGGGGAAGAGGTCAGTGTGCTTCCTTTGGAAATGAAACAAAAAAAGGCAGGGGTTCTGCCTTAGCTGTGACGATGGAAGGTCAGTACTGTCTGGTTTACATTACATGCTTTTTTTTCTTTTTCTTTTCTTTTTTTGATAGCATGTTGGGATGTTTTTAACAGATATTTGGAAGAACAGTCCAGAATAAATAGTGTCTTGAATTTGCCTGGCTACTAATTAGCACAGAAGGCACAATTAGTTTTGGAACCAGTGGCTGTGAACTTAAAAGCACCAGTATAACAAAGCACCAGTATAACAAAATTAGTATTTCAGATAAGGCAAACATAGGGTAGTTTAAAAGGCTTAAACTGTGATTTTAAATAAAGACACATTCAAAAGTTAAGCATGTTTTTCTAGGTTGATATTAATAGAGAAGAATATAAATACACAAATATATGCTGAGGGTTAAATGCTGTCTTGAACTGGTGTCAAAGGCATTGATGCCCAGAGGCTGTGAGTCATCGTCCTGATTGATATTGGTGGGTCATTGTGAGAAATAACAACATTTAAATGCAGCGAGAGAGGACTTGAAGCAAAATGACCACAAGCCAGGTATGGAACAGGTATACATGATCTACATGAAGAACAAACCTGGGTAAAATAAAAAAGCGGCCTACTAAAACAAAAGGGTTTATTCAAATTGTTTATTTCTCGATATTTGGAATACATTAAATCATAGAATCATAGAATGGTTTGTGTTGGAAGGGACCTGAAAGATCATCTAGTTCCAACCCCCCTGCCATCAGCAGGGACACCTTCCACTAGACCAGGTTGCTCAAAGCCTCATCCAGCCTGGCCTGGGACACTTCCAGGGAGGAGCAGCCAAAGCTTATCTGGGCAACCTGTTGCAGTGTCTGACCACCCTCACAGTGAAGAACTTCTTCCTAATATCTCATCTAAACCTCCCCTCTTTCAGCTTAAACCCATTTCCCCTAGTTTTGTCAAATGATCATGCTGTCTGAAGGTACTAGTGAATAGACAAGACCAGCCAAGGACCAATGTCAGTGCCAGTAAAAACATATCAAAGAGTGGAGGTGGTCAGAGTGGACATGATTAAGTGTGTTTAGTTCTCCATATCTGCTGCTTACTCTGTCACTGAAGGCACTGGATGGCTCTGAGCTTCGAAGAAAGTTTTGCATTTTGTTGTGGTTTGTTTTTACTGCAAGAGCGTGGATGTGTTGATACTGGGTCTGGCTGGGACTGGGACGGAAACCAGACTTCCTTGAGTAAACAAGAGCACTTTTGCGGCACAGTGCTTATGTCACTGTGATACTAATGAACTTCCATAGAAATCAGGGCCAACATAGTAAATTATTTGTTTTTTCAGCCTTATGAAAATGAGCGTTGCTCTGTATTTTGAGGAAGTGTTTCATAGTCTGGCCTACCACAGTCAGTCTCCTGGTGCATTGGTGCTCTGTTAACTCGTGATGGAAGAGATTTGGGATTTTAAGGCATAGCAATACATGTGTTGTCTCTTACCTGATTCTTTATGATACGAAAATCTATGTTAAAAACTTGAATTCCCTTGATCTTCAAAGGGAAAGCATCTTCTTAGAAACTTATACATCAGTCAAAAGAAAAATAGGTTTTCTCAAGCAGTGTAACTGCAGCAGAACATCAAACTGAGGTTTAACTATTTTTGACAGTATTTTGAAGTACTGTCAAATACTTTATGTATTTTATAGTAATGCTGTTTGCGCAGAACCATTTTTTATATTTGTCAGGGTAACAGAGTTTATCTGGTTATACTTTGCTTTTTTTTAAAAAAAAAAAAAAGAAAGAAAGAAAGAAAGGAAAAAGAAAACTGAGCTCTGTGGCTAATTCTTTCCTGGCTAGTACAACCTTAGACAAACAGACCAAAGGAAAGAGGTTGTTTTGCAAGATACTTGTGGGGTTTTTGTGGTTTTTTCATAATTCTTCCATTTTCCAGTTCCAAAGAGCTGTTGTGTTTTGACATCCCAGTTCTCATCAGATCACTGTAACTTCACTGAAAGTGTAATAATTTTAGAGGTGTGGATCTTCTTGTGCTAGTCTATATAAAAGAGCTGTCATACTGTACAAAGTGAAACAAGATAAATGGGCTATTTCATTTTTTTAATTGAAATTTTGTGCAGGAACCTGAATACATACGCAGTATTAGTTTGCAAGAAGTAGTTTAGCATCACTCTTAAATCAGATCAGCGTGACAGGCTGAAAGACATTTATGTATGAGAGCATACATTCCTTCATACACAGTGCTCAGTAGTGTTGAATGGCAGTCACGCTTGTATCTTGCTAATCATTCATTTTTTTCCTAACTTTTGAGGAATACGTGAGTAAAAGCTACAGCATTTGTTAGAATTTGCTAATTCTTTGCTACTGTTTTATTACAGTTATGAAGGTGTTTTTCTGTGATTCTTTTTTGTGGTAAAGGATATGAGGGCAGAGGGTGTGAGGGGAGCAGAGGAGAGAAAAGATTAGAATTTAGACATGTTAACAAAACCATTTTTGAGGTATAGCTTTCATGAAACATTCATGTAACTATGACATGCAGCCACCATCCTCTGTACCATACTGAATATAACAGCAGTTTTGATACAGCAGTGAAGTTAGTCCTATAAAACTTAACAAATGAGTTATGGTAGCATGTGCTGTATGGTAGGAGGTAATTGGCATAGCCAGCAATAGGAGTACAAATGATAAACTCTTAGATTATAGCCAAAGCTTCCTACCTGATGTGCCAGTTTAGTTCAGATGATATCAATATGATTATTATTCTGAGGTGTTGGGATTTTGGAAATGTCAGTGAACTGTAGTTGAAACTGTTCAATTGATCTGAGCATTGGATAGTGCAGCTTTGAAGCTGTGGAAAAGTAAAACCAAAGGATAGAATTCAATGTTAGTTTTTGTATTCCTTTATTTTGTAGACTCTCTTAATAAAATTTCTTCATTATTTCATTTTCTTGGGAGAACTTTGAGTATTGCTCTTTGCTTTATGTCTGTAAGATCTCACCCTCAAACATAACATGAAAACAAGTCTTTTTGCATAGATGGTACATAACTGATTCTGCTGGGGTGTTTTTGAGATGTGGTGGTGACAGAAGGGTTTTCCTCATTAGAAAAACAGATCTCAGTGTCTTTGTATGCCACTAACTGATGTGACAGATTTTACAAAGACAAGTTCTAGCCACCCACACTCTTACTGAGAAAAGCAGGCACCAGAACATGTGCTTTCCAACAAAATATTGGGGTGCATGGCTACTGGGTAGGAAATGGGGAAGGTGAAGAGAGTAACAAGATAAGATTCAGTTCTAAATATAAGTTGGATTTATTAATTTGATTTAAGCAACTGCTTTACCATGTAATGGTAGAAGGTATCTTGGCTAAGAATGAGCAAAATAACAGAGCAAAGCACTTTCTTGAAAGTTTTTTATTAGTATCTGCATTATATTGGTTGGGATTTCATAGTATAAGCATTTGCATCTTCTAGCATATATTCAGCTTTATAGATGGAAGTTGAATGCTGTGAGACTTTTAATGTTATTACTCATGAAATAAAAATATTAAAAGTGTAATGTTGAAGCTCTGTATTTTAAAAAGGCAAAAATTTTATTCTTTTTAGGTAAGCTTCTGGGTTGTTAGAGAGATTCTACATGCACAGACTTTAAAAATAAGAGCTGAGGTTTTGAGCCACTATATTAAAACTGCAAAGGTAAGAATTTGGATGGGGGGTGTTGTGGGGTTCACCGCGATGAAAGTTCTTATACTTAAGTTGATCAGTTCAAAAATACACATGGGTAAGTTTTTATCTAATACCTGATTCAGCTGTGGTTGTATCTGTTGACATGAATATTCTGCATGTAACAAAGTTGTCAGAAAAAGTGGCAGACCAAAGTCCTGAAATGGAAGCCTTTGTTTACAAAAAAAATAACTTAAACTAAGGAAATATAAAGATGTGTTACTTCAAACATTGTTTATCCGATAATACAATTTATTGGATGTGTTTTCTAATGTTGGTTAAGCCAAAATGCTGTGTGTAGAATCAGTTCAAACAGCATCAGTCAGAACAAAAATTGTTTGTTTGCTCTTACTATTGGAAGGAAAGGGTCTGTTACCTTTTATTCCAGTTTTGGCATGAATAATATCAACTTAATAACCATAGGGTTCTGCGCACCCAGACTGACATTGCTGCTAGGGTGACCTGACAGTACGCATTTAATGTGGCATTTCTGAGTAATACCTGTGAGGACTTTGTCCTATAAAAAACTGTTAGTTTTCTGGCAGTGTGTTAAGTGGATAGAGAATGATTTGCCCTGTTCCAAAACGATTAGCTAGAAAACCATCCTTGCAGTATTGCTTTTGGCCTTACCAAGGCCAAAATACGAAGTCTCCTCAGATACTCAGCATTTAGTCAGAATCCAATTAGTCTAACTTTTTTGTCCTGTTGTCTCATGAAGGGCCTCTTAATCAGGAGGTCATCAACTTGGGTGAGCTGAGTTTCCAGGAGGAAAAAAGACTTCCACCATTTTTTGAATAGCAAGGGTTCTTTATAATATTGTGGAATATTATATGGCTGGAATCCTAACCTACCTTGGTGAATTTTCCACACAAGCTAAACAGGATTTCTAATACTGTGATTGAGTATCCATTTCTCTTTATCAGAGTCTTTTTGGTAGGGTTAAAACCTCAGTTCGTGTGCGTTCCACCAAAAATCCCTGGATGTGGTTCAGATCTCTGGGTGCACATCGCTATTGGAATAACTGATGTTGCAGAAGAGCTTAAGGAACAGCTTTTTCTTCTGGATCATTTTTAAGCTTTCGTGACAGTAGTTAATTGACCAAGGCAGACCGATGGTTTTGGAGACAGAGGAGAACCAGGGGGAATGGGGAGGAGGGGACGGGAATTCCAATATATATGAAAAAGCACTTATAGGCAGTGTTCTGTAGAGAGTTATAAATAAAATTCTTTTACCCTGATGCCTTCTGTTGTCAATTTTGATTTCATAGTTTTAGTTGTCATACCCCTAAAATTGTGTTTGAATCTGAGAAGTACTCTAGGTACATGACTCCTTGAAATTTACCTGCTTGATTTCATCCTGCAACCATGTATTTTGGGCGCTGTGATGCTACATAAACCTGCAGTGCCAAATGCATTTCCTATATTAAATACTGCCACGATTACCTCATTCACAACTGGGTTATCCTTTTTGGCACGTTAAGTTTGAAAATTCTCTTGAATGCTATGAAAGGAATTTGTTGGGTTTGAACATGAGAAAATTTCTGGCACTTCCAATATATATCCCAAGAGGTATGCATATATAGATTTTCTTCTTATTATTTATTTATTTATTAAGGACTCTCTCTGGACTATGAAACAGCTAGTCTGGTGTAATCCAAAACTGTATAGATGCAGTAATGAAAAATTAGGAGGTGCCATAAAAGTGGTATGAGCGCACAGCAGTTCACTGTAACTAACTCTTAGTTTTAGAACATGCACAAATTCTTCGTTTCTAGATTGTTATTTATTCTGTATTCATTATTGACAGCACTTGGAATGTTGTTTATTGTTATTGTATGTGTGGTTTTTTTTGTCCTCAGAAACTGTATGAGCTGAATAATCTGCATGCTCTCATGGCAGTTGTGTCAGGTCTACAGAGTGCTCCAATCTTCAGGCTGACTAAAACGTGGGCGGTAAGTGCGCAGCAGGACAGTGGAGAGGAGAGGTTTTAATTTATTCTTAGGAAAATACAACATTTTGTAGCTTGTTCTCAAGGTTGCAATAATTATTACAGATACTTTTAATCTTCTCGTACCGTGTACATAATGTTTCTAGTGCCTCTTAAGTCCATGGCTTCCTGTTGAATTTTTTTTTTCCGTTCTGGCATAGAAATTTTTTCCTTTGAAAAATAGTTCCATGCAGATTGTGCTAAAAGCAGAGGCTTCTAATTTGGCCAGAAGCTATTTTGTATTTAGTTGCTGGAAAATTATGAATGCCAAAGTGGGTCATACTTCAATCATTTAGGGGTTTATACTGTTGGAATTTTTTTTTGCTGTGGAGCGCAGATGTCCAGAAACTCTTGATTCAGTTTCCATAAAGAGGTTTGTATTTTCTCTGACTGATAACTAAATCTAGCAACTTCCCTCAGAGTTTTCAGAAATATTTTCATAGTTATAACAACTACATTACACAGTATATTCGTTGGTCTTCTTTTGTACAGTTATAAAAGAATGGTGTTCTTTGGAAACATGTTTATTTGACTGGAATTAATATTATTTTTGTGTAGTTTTATCCTTGATCACAAGAACATTAGAAATTAGTTTTGCTCATTGATACCTCAGAGCTGCAAAAACACTGTGTTTGATTCAGCCATACAGCCTGTATATGTCCAGCTCTATAAACAGATGAACTGTGACATTTTCAAGCATGGCAGAAATAATCAGGTGACTGAAATACTCCTGTATGAGGGATCCATATAAATAAATCATTAAAAAGAGCTAAAAACTTTCACTGTAGATGTGTGAACGCATCCTTGCATGTTACAAGAAATGTTTCTTTGTCTGATAACTGAATAATAATGTTGTTCAGTTGATAAATGTTACCAAAATTGAATATAATTCACTCCTGCCAAGATACTCATCTAGAATTTTGGGCACGTTTTGCAAATGCACTATTAAGTGAGGCATTGTTTCAAAATACCAACAATCTCTCTAAGGGAATCTTAATGGAGTTAACACTTCAAAATGATTTTGAGGAGATCTTCTGTTTTTCTGTTTTTGTCATGTCAATGAATTGATGCCTCAACAGTTTTACATAATTGTGATGTAAAATTGATATTTTTTTTGTGCGTGACTCAAAACAAATGTCAAACATAACTGTGTATTAGTATAGCTATATTAGATACTACCATATCTATGCTATTCAGGACTGGGAGTCCCCAGTTTCTTTTCCTACTTGGTCAACCAGAAATCCTAGTTTGTGCTTAAGAGGTTTGTTTGTGTGCTGTTGGAATATGTATCAGTTTTTAAAGTTTACCCCTCTTCCAGCCTCTGAAATGCCAGGTAACTCCTCCCATAATTCTGCAGTTGTCAGTCTCAAGCGCTTGAGTCTACGCTTTTCATCATCTTACATAAGCCTTTGCAAACTCAAGTTGTAGAATAACTTCTAGCAGTGTGCACTGCAAACTGATTTAGATGTCTTTTTCTTGGAAATTCAGTTTATACATTCTTGAAGTAATTCTAAGCCTTTGGCTTTCTATATATTAAAAGCAAAGAAAGACATGTGAAAAGGCACACCAAGCCATTATTTGAATCACCAAGTCATTTGAGTAAGTTATATGGTAACCTTCTAAGACCTTCAGTAAGGAAGGATTTCTTCTCCATTTTTGACGTAGTTTGTAGTAACCCACACATATCAACCCAGCTTATAAAGTCAGGAAAATAGTTGTAAGTATATTCACTCCCTGCAAAAAAAAGTTAGAAGTCACCTTATATGGTTGGAATCTAGAGTTGAAAGGAGCCATTAAATACTTTCTTGGTAATCTAATGTTCCTAAAAAAGATGGAATTCGTGTCTTCTGACGATATGTCTGAATATCTGATATTTGTCTCACTTACTGCCTGCACACTCTCTGAACTCTGGAGGATAATAAATGCTTCTCATGTGTGATTTTTCGCCATTCAAAACTTTAAAAGAATTTTGAACCTTTCCAAGAAAATACTTAGAACAGAATAGAGTATTCTACGTCTGTCCACTTAATGTAAGGGAAGTCTAGGTTACCAGCTGGGACTTGGGCAATGTAAGCAAATAGTCATTAGCCATCTGAAGTTAGGTGAGTGAATCCTGCCTGAGTCTGCTGGCACCCTGACATCTCATCTCTCCTTTCTTGCATTTCAAAAAGGTTGTCCTCAGTGCCGGCACACTGTAATTAGAAAGCAAAGAGCAGTCTGGAAGGCTCCCAGTCCTTCTCTGCTTCTGTACACTATCAACCTTAGCTTTTGTTGTCTCTGCATGTGTACATCTCTTTACTGTTCTTTGCATCCTTGAGCTTAAGAGACAGAGGAATAAAAATTATTTAGAAAAAGAAGCATCTCCAAAACTGAAGAAATAACAGCTGGGTCCTTACTTGCCCTCACAGCAACACTTTTAATATTATCAAGTTCTCTCTGCTTTTCTACATTAATGCAGGAAGTGGAAACATAATGTAAATTGAATTGTGAGCACAAGGGAAAGTCGTACAGGATCAGCTCGTTTAGAGATTATTCAAAGAGCCTGAAATGACATATCAGACGTGAATAAGATTGTGCAAATCAGTGTGTTTTGAGGAAAATACAATTCATTTAATTCAAATGTGAATTTAGGCCATTACTATATCTATTACTCTTGTCTTACCTTCCAGTCTGCAAAACTGCAAAAGCCTTCCAGACACCAAATGGCAGCAGAGTATTTTAGAATATTATTAAAAGCAATCTAATCTAGGCTGATTAAATTGGCACCATCTTTGAGGAGATAAACTTCAAAGGTTTCAATGTCATGTTCTGGTGGTTGGAAAGAAGTCATGCCTGTCTACTATTTCCCTGTCCTGAAAGTGGCAGATATCTGCAGTTTTAATGAACATGAGATGCTCTTCATCCGAATATTGGAACCAAAGTTAGAGATGTAAATTAATTGCAGGAATGTCAAAGATCACTTGGTCTTTGGAAACAACTCACTTTTAAAAGTGACTTTCTTATGCAAGCCAGTGTTCTTGGTGTGTTAGCTATCCTAATGAAGACTAGGATATGGAAAATGTAAATAAAAAGAACCATTATTTCAGTAATGAATTTACAGCTTTGCAGAAGGGACATTTCACTTCTGTCATGTTTACATAGAATCATAGAATCATAGAATGGTTTGGGTTGGAAGGGACCTTAAAGATCATCTAGTTCCAACCCCCCTGCCATGAGCAGGGACATAGGTTGATCTTTAACTGAAAGAGAAAAGGGAATGTGTGTAAAAAATAAAAGTAAATAAAAATTAGTGATGGGACCCTTGTCATTTTTACACTATCAGGTATCTTACAGGGGAAAATAGTGACTGAGACTAGAACACTGAGTCTTCTGCCAAGATGTTCAGCAGGAACATCTTATACCCTTCTTTACATTCTGGCTTTGAATTGAAATTAAGCCTCTAATGTGGCTTTGCAGCAGTAGTTCAGTGAGAAATTAAAAAAATAACTTTTCCAGTCTTACAAAGAGAGCCTAATTGTTGTTAATTCTGTCAAAGGAAGGGCAGGGGCAGGGGAGGGAGGAGGAATGAAGGAGGTCCATGACTATTAAGTTTTGTATTTGAAGTAGACATTCCTGTAATACTGAAAGCTGGTAAAATTGCTAATTGGCAGAACAGAATACCCAGCCTGTATGCAAGTTCATAATGGCTTCTGTGGAGAAAAATGGATTAAATCCTTACTCTTTTCCAGACCTTCCAGTGCGTGCATATGTGTGTATCTGCATTCATTGTTTTTAAAATTGTAGTTCACATAAAGGTATTTATCAGATCTTAGTGGTATTGTTTTACACTTTGGAAAATAATTTGTTGACAGAGCTCTCAATTCAGGAATAAGAACATATTTTGGAATTTTGGGTTTTGTGGTGGTAGATTAGTATAAAATTTCTCAGTATATCTGACAAAGAAATGTTAAGTTATGGATAATTAGAGTTTTGAAATATTGTAGAAGTAGCGAGCATGTGAAAGTGTGATCTGTTTTAGCTAGATTAGTCTTTTGAAAACTTGGGTTATTTCAGAAGGATCCTCCAGGACATGAAAGTTTGTACCTGGCTAATTTTTAAAAAGGATAGTTTACATTTAACAGCCAAAACAGCTACTTTTCTTTGTAAACACTCCAAGTACTCATCCATAAGGAGTAAATGCTGTATTTTTGAAGCAGTTGTATTTGAAAACAAACCAACAACTTTAAATGGGGGCCTGGGGGATGGAAATCTGTGCTTTTAAGGGTAAAAGAGAAATCATAATCATCAAACTTAACACTCATCTGGTTTTGGCGGCTTTTTATTTTTTTCTAGTTACTGAGTCGGAAGGATAAAGCCACCTTTGAAAAGCTGGAGTATGTTATGAGTAAAGAAGATAATTACAAAAGGCTTAGAGACTATATCAGCAGCCTGAAGATGACTCCTTGTATTCCTTATTTAGGTAAGCTGAATTATTTCTAGTGGGAAATACTACTGACAAACATACTTCTCCAGTAATTACACAAACTAAACACCATCTTTTAAGCATTCATGACACTATTTCAGTACTTCAGTAAAGAATCTATAACTACTAGTTGATTCTGGATACTCTGCATACTGCAAGAAATAACTTCACTAGCTTCAGAAAGAAAATACCTATTAAACCTCACAAACACTTCAGGTTTTACATACAGTATCAATTTTCCAGGAAATTATTTTCCCATATGTTGTATAGATACACTGATTGACTTCTGGAGAAGTACTTAAGCTGTTATGCCTGCTAGCATTCTTAGAGCTAAATACTTGACTGTTATAGTAATGATGGCTTTTAATTTATGAGAGGGTATAAATCACCAGCCTCTGAGATAAATAAATGTAGATCTTACGGATTGGAACATGCTAAAATCTGGAGATATTGTTGCATTTAGTTATACTAAGGTGAAAAGAGAAATTGGGTTGTTATGACTGACTCAGCTTTACAGAATAATTATGAGTAAATGATTTTCTTGTGTATCTGAAAACTAGATAAATGTGGTTAATATGTATTGTTTTTATTGCCAAGCTAATCTAATGTTACTTAATGTCTCAGGTTTTTTTGAAGTGATCAGTATGCTTTTCTTAATGTAGCTTTTCTTTGACATCGTAAGAAGTTGGTTGTCACATAAAATTAAGGAAATGTTTACTCAGTTTTTTCCTTTTCCATAAAAAATAGTTGGTATTTTTGCAGATACAAGTTGCTCTTACACCTTAAATTCAAGATAACCTCCTGTGATCACTAAGGCTTATTAAACTGTAATCTCTTTATTTCTGAAGTTTGAGGCTTCCTTTACTCAGGTGCACTATTAGTTTTTTCAAGATTAATAAATAGACAATCATCTATGCTGTGATCTGTGTGTCCATCACAATATTTCTGTTGTTTCATAGCTTGATAAGAGTCTCAATACCATCACTGATGTTAGAATCTAGAATGATGCCTCTAAAATGCATATATTCAGGTTTTGCAAAATTAGTTGAATTTTACAGGCTTTATACGTAAATAGAAAAAATATACTTTGTGGAGAACCAGTAAGAACTTTAATGACAAGTAGTCCTGTAGAATTCCTCATTCTGTCTTCATTTTTTATTTTTTTTTAACTTCCCTGTTACGTCTTACCCAGAAACATCCATCAGTTCTAACGTGATCCTAACAGCTGTTAATTTCCTGTATTTTCAAGTATTCAGATGTTGGTAATTGTTTGTGCCTAGAATGGAAGAAAAGTCAGCCTGAGTGTATTTTGTCTGAAGTGCAGGTGTGAAAATTGCTGGTGTGATGCACTATGCTGTGCTACCCTGTTTGTTGACATAGCTGTTAAAGCTAGGCCTGAATTAAAGGGGCAAAGAAGCAGCCAAGCATAATGTAATATGATTTAAACATGTCATTTTGTAGCTTTCCCATCATGTGTACACATATATACACACTGTATGTGGATCTGAAATGCATTTTCTAGCTTTCCAGATGTTTTTTTTACTTATATGCCATGATTTATTGTGAAACTATCACATTTATGAAACACGAAGCCAGACTCAAATTGTTTTCTTGCTGATCATAGAAATGCCAAGCCAACCTGCTGTCAGATATTTTTAAAATCTCATGATACTCTGACCTTAGCCATTATGGTCTTCTGATACTTGCTGCCATAGAAGGAAATCTTTATACTTTGATGCTTTTGTCTGACACTTGAAAAATATTGCCTTTCTACGTGCAAGTGTATATTTTTTTTAAAAAAGTGAAATATTGGGAAAAAAATTGTTTTAAGTTTTGTTCAGATACAGATGTTATCCTCAGTACATCAGCAACTTCTTGTCTAACTTTTGCATTAGAATAAGCTTTGGGCTTGACTTGATAGTTTGTTGAAGTGAAATGTGTATTTCTTTTCTGCTTAAAAAGAAAGAAATGCTCTTTGCTGTGACCCGCTGTAGTTAAAGAATATGTTGTGACCTGATTTCATATGATATCAGTTCTTACTAATGACTTGAAGAACGTCCTCTAGCCTTTTTTAATTCTCCAAAGTAATAGCAAGTGCCCACTGGTGCACTCCCTCTAAAATTAATTTTGTAAGGTTCAAGTAAGTGGCAAAAAGAAAAAAAAAATGCCTTGAAAGTACAGTCGTGATAAATCTGGATCTATCTTGAAAGATTGGCTGTTGAGTCCAATTTTTCTCATTTGATCAAAGCTTTAATCTCCAGTAAAACCTGAGTAGATTTGCAGGAGTAGTATTTCTAAAATTTCCTTCCCAAGGCATTTTTACTAATGTAAGAGTCATATGGGACAGAAGTAACTTGAGCTGCTTGTTTTACTGACTGTTTTAAGTTTACCAGCTATAGCTTATAATTCCTGAAAGGATCTTTTACTGTGATTACTCCTGGTATACAATCATATATGGGAGTAATGCTACTCCTGGTTTAAAACGTGTAGAAAAGTCTACCTAAAAGTCTGCTGTTTGAAATTGTGATCCTGAGATTCATCATAAAGTCCACTTCCTCTCACAGAGGAAGGTGGTGGGGCTCTCGACACTGTTGGTGCAGAGATCCTGCAGGTGCTGTCCTCCCCTAAAATGCTCTTTGGAAGAGCGCAGAGAATCAAGTCTGCCACACGCTCACATTTGCCATTGCACATCCCCTCTGGAGGAATACTGGCACTGCTCGTGAAGGACCCTGTTTGGAAGGTCACAGGGAAAGTGAGCATGCAAGGGAATTTCAGCTGCAATTTCAAGGATGAATGTTTTACCCTTCAGAGGTTATTAGGTTTACCCTTATGCAACCAAATATCAAATGTGGGTATGGAGTTTTTTTAATGACTGTCTTAGCATTATAAGATAAAGCTTAAATTTTTTTTTTTGTGTAATCTTTGCAATGGGAGTAGAGTCACAGAAGTACAGATTGTTTTCTTATTATCACAGCTTGTTTACTGTGGACAAGATGTCCTTCTCCATTTAAGTAGAGGGGAAAAAATAGAAATATTTTTCAGTTCCTTGCAGCAATAAGTGTGATGCGGTTCCAGAGTTCTAGAAATGCAGGTGAGAGCAGCACATCGACAGTGTGGACTCACTAACTTAAATGTAAGTGCTAAAAGAGCTGTGCAACACCAATAAGAATGTTTGGCATTAGGTCCTCATTACATGGATCTGTCATCACTGTTGCATCACCCAGCCAACTAAAGTAGCCAGAGCAAATGGGAGCTGTATACCTGATGTTGTGTTTCACCTCAGTAAAAGCCATTCTCAAAGGGAGTGTTATCATGGAGTTCTGATTAATTTGAGGTTGCACAATGAAACAATTGAGCCATATCTTAAGAAGTAAGATCTTTATTTAACTAAGCAGTACTACCTTGTGAAATATTTTCTTCTATCTGTCTTTCCAGAATTATATCCAGAAATGGGAAAGCTGAAAACAGGTTATTGAAGTATTCATCTGATGAATATTCAGCTAATTCAATGCTTGCAATAGACTTTGGAAATATAGGTGAAAAACCTCTTTCAGGTTTAGTACAGGTTAAACTTTTTCAAGGTCTGCTTGGTTAAATTTGGACAAATAGTACAGGAATGGTGAAAGCTATATCCTTCACAGACTGACTGCTTCCGTGTGTCCAGTGCAATAAGCTTGAGGGGTGCTACAGCCTCTTTTGAAAAACTTTTCTAAAAAAGGTGTGAACTTTTAAAGTCATTTTACCCTGCTCAGAAAATTCAACCCAAAAGCAAAGAACTGACAGTTACAAGCATTTCAAAGTAGTAAATTATGGTATTAACCATTATTATTATTCTATGAAATTATGATGAACCAACCTGAAAATGAGAAGCTATGGTTTTCCTACTTGTAATCTTAAATCAGCAACTTAAAATTCATTCTTTTCTTTCAGAGCATAGCATTTGTACCGTCTGAGCTTTCTGGGTGTATTTTGTAATAACATTTAGTTAATGTAATCCTGCAGCTTTAAATTGGAGGAGACTCACTTTTTAGATGTCTAATATATAAAATGTAATTTAAAGGCTGAGTTCAAGCTAATTTACTTGGGGGTTTCTGCAGAGTGCACCTTTCACTGACTGTATGAATAAACAAACACTGTTCTTGTAGCAGATGAGATTCTTGTGGTAAAACAAGAAATCTATCGGTTGAATGAACTAAAGCTGTCAAAAGTGTTCATTAAAGGAACGTTTTGGAAAGCATTTTCAGCTTTTAAATTTACCTGAACTGCTCTTCTATCCAACTACCATAGGAAAAAAAGAATAGACTGCAGATAGTCTGAATTTTAAGCATTTGCAATTAAAAAGCATTTTACAGAACACTCAATCAATGAGGTCTGTATGATATTTGTAACAAACAAATATTCCTTATACGAAGAACAATTTTAGAATTGTAATCTTAAACATTTGTGTCAGTTAAAATTACTGGAATTTGGGAATGGGATATGCTGGGACTGATTCTCTGCCCCTCCCACCCCCTGCCAACCCCAATTAAATACTGTTGAAACTTGTTGGCTTTGTTAGAATTGTAATCATCTTAAACATTTGTGTCAGTTAAAATTACTGGAATTTGGGAATGGGATATGCTGGGACTGATTCTCTGCCCCTCCCACCCCCTGCCAACCCCAATTAAATACTGTTGAAACTTGTTGGCTTTGATTTCTGATGGAAGATTTCACTACAGCCCTTGCAGCCATATATTATCCATGAAGCTTTATCTGCTCTGGAGAATGTGTTTTGAAAGCAGAATGCTATTTTCTGCTCTCTGAACTACAAATGAAGTTTTGCATAGCAATTGGTATGACTAATTTAACATAATAATATTAGATTATTACTTTAGGTATTAGGTTTTCTTATGTTAAATAAGGGCAAAGTTCCTTAAAATCCTGAAGGCATGTATGAGGTGCCAAACAGATACATTGATTACAGTTCACAACAGCATATTTAGTTTTTATATCAAATA